TCACCAGACCTGAACCCCATAGAGAATCTATGGGGTATTGTCAAGAGGAAGATGAGAGACACCAGATCACATTTAACAAATGAGCTGAAGGCCACTATCAAAGAAACCTGGGCTTCCATACCACCTCAGCAGTGCCACAAACTGATCACCTCCATGCCACGCCGAATTGAGGCAGTAATTAAAGCAAAAGGAGCCCCTACCAAGTATTGAGTACATGTACAGTAAATTAACATACTTTCCAGAAGGCCAACAATTCACAAAAAATGTTTTTTTTATTGGTCTTATGAAGTATTCTAATTAGTTGAGATAGTGAATTGGTGGGTTTTTGTTAAATGTGAGCCAAAATCATCACAATGAAAAGAACCAAAGACTTAAACTACTTCAGTCTGTGTGCATTGAATTTATTTAATACACGAGTTTCACAATTTGAGTTGAACTACTGAAATAAATGAACTTTTCCATGACATTCTAATTTATTGAGATGCACCTGTATATTTTATACTTTCACCCTGCAGGATATTTGTGAAAACCGATAATCATATCATGTAGCAATTTCTGGGGTTTCTTTTTTAGTTTTGGTCATTTTTTAAAATGTTTTTGTAATTAACAGATTTGAAGCATTAATTATTGGGTATTTTTTCAGTTATTCACTGAAAAATGTTTCGGGTTTTAGGCAGCGTGAGGGAATGGGAATGTTGCCAATGCCGCGAGGAGACAAGCTGAAGTTTCCCAGAAGCAGAGAGCTAATTAGCCTTGAGTATTCCCATGATGCCGAGTGTGTGAGAAACCAGAGGAGTGTGTTTCCATGAGAGGAAAACACTAGCAGTACACTCCTGCACCTCAACCTTTAGGACCTGCCTTACAGGCCCGGCGCTGTTTACATAATGCAAACAGCTCTTCGGTATTTGCTTTACGACCCATCAGGGAGTTATTTCAGAGAGAGAGAAACTGTCATGCTATAATAGGGTTATTCCAGAAAGATGGTTCGTGAAAAGAAAAGTGAGATGAATGCCATGGGAACCTATTCTCGATGCGAGTGTGTGTGTCTGTTCTGTGGAAGTTTCATGTTGGAGGGTTTGTTTTTTCATTGACATTTGTCAAACTTTTTTACAGTTACATTTAAATTTCTCTCTGTCCACTTCGGCCTTTATCCGCCATCCTCCCTCTCTAAACCCGTAGCCGTATGCTGTTTTTCTGAGGGACTGTACTGTAATTACAGATCTGGCATACAAGCTCTCTCTCCCACACACCTCTGCCACTCTCCCTGCTGGGCTTTTGTGTTCTCCACAAACCCTACAGTATGCACACAACTTTATTTACGAGCCATGGAAGACTCCATCCATCCCGAGCTGTTTGGCTGTCAAGAGCAGTCCAGTCCCTCTGTATTCTGCTCCCGCTGTTTAGAGCGATACCCTGCATCCGCACTCTACTCAACACAAGCTTGAAATTACATAGGCTACTACCATGCTATGCACATTTGTATGCATGAAAAACCTGAATGGCCTTCCATTTTCAGTGTGACGACTGAACTGGAAGCAGCATCGACATTGATTTTAACAATACTGTATGTTATGCTGTAGTAGTGTAGTTCATCTTATATATGCAAATATCTTGATGCATTACCCAGATTACGTACTAGGACACAATGTTCAAAAGTATCCCACAATAAAAGGCATTCTATTTGATTTTTCATTTTCCGAGCAATAAATTAATCTTAAGTGATATCAACTGTTGATTTAGGCGAGTGAATGCATAATGTTGATACACATATGTGACCCTGGACCACAAAACCAGTCATAAGGGCCACTTTTTTAAATTGATTTTTATGCATAATCTGAAAGCTGAATAAATAAACTTTCCATTGATGTATGGTTTGCTATGATAGGACAATATGTGTCCTGTATATTTGGCTGAGATACAACTATTTGAAAATCTGGAATCTGAGGGTGCAAAAAAAATCAAAATATTGAGAAAATCGCCTTTAAAGTTGTCCAGATGAAGTTCTTAGCAATGCATATTACTAATCAGAAATTAAGTTTTGATATATTTACAGTAGGACATTTACAAAATATCTTCACGGAACGTGATCTTTACTTAATATCCTAATGATTTTTGGCATAAAAGAAAAATTGATAATTTTGACCCATACAGTGTATTGTTGGCTATTGCTACAAATATACCCCAGCGACTCAACACTGCTTTTGTGCTCCAGGGTCACAAATATTAAGCAGCACAACTGTTTTCAACAGTGATAATAATATGAAATGTTTCTTGAGCAGCAAATCAGCATATAAGAATGCAGTGCTGGTAGTAACTGATTACATGGATTATCATATTTAACTTGTAATTAGATGATATTACATTTTAAAATACTCATAACCAGACTACAGTTACTTTTTTTTTATTAAATACTTGATTACATTCACACAATAGCAATAAATGATTCATAATTTATAGATTCTCCCTAATTCCTCTTTTTCATCTTTTAAAGTTTCCTTTCTAAAATTGGAAAGTCTTCCAGTTTGCGGACATTCACACAAGGATCAGTCTCTAGTCAGGTGACTATAATTACACAGGAAATTTGGAAGGCTTTTGTTTTTCAGACCAAATATTAAGCAGCACAACTGTTTTCAACAGTGATAATAATATGAAATGTTTCTTGAGCAGCAAATCAGCATATAAGAATGCAGTGCTGGTAGTAACTGATAACATGGATTATCATATTTAACTTGTAATTAGATGATATTACATTTTAAAATACTCATAACCAGACTACAGTTACTTTTTTTTTATGAAATACTTGATTACATTCACACAATAGCAATAAATGATTCATAATTTATTGATTCTCCCTAATTCCTCTTTTTCATCTTTTAAAGTTTCCTTTCTAAAATTGGAAAGTCTTCCAGTTTGCGGACATTCACACAAGGATCAGTCTCTAGTCAGGTGACTATAATTACACAGGAAATTTGGAAGGCTTTTGTTTTTCAGACACATTTCTCTTTTTTTTTGCATGTAACGCAGGGATTCCCAAACTTATTTTGTCAGCCAAACCTCTATAACCTAACATTTACTTTAAGTAACCCCTGAGAGTTTAAGGTAATGAGTTAATAATTAAGTAACATGATTGCATGCTCACTGTTCTCTTGTTGGATAATGGCCACATGACATGCAGGTAAACAAATAAAATATTTAATATTTTTTAGAAAGTGTTTTATTTTGATTATTATTATTTTAAAACGATTCTAATTTGACATTTTTATGATTTAGTTTAATTATTTGCTGTTTTAGTAAACTCGCAAACCTCCCACAGTTCCTTTACTACGCCTAGTTTGAGAAACCTTTTATTATTTAATGCACTTCATGTTGTTAATTACAATGAATGGAATATATTTTCCTACTCTTTGTATTTTTTATATCAGTCCAGTACAAGATTATTATCCTATTTAAATCAATGTGATAAACAAGTTGTGAAAAGTAGTCTAAAAGTAATCAAAATGCATCTGATTATATTATCTAAAATGTGTAATGTAAAAGAATATGTTACTAATATGTTATATGAATACTACAATTGTTTCCATGTAATTTGCCATCAGTAATGGACTACAATTTGTAAGTAATCTACCCAGCTCTGAATGATGAATTAATATTTTATATATATAATTTCAAACTGTAGTAATATTTCACAGTGTTAATGTTTTACTGTATTTTTGATCAAATAAATGCAGCTTTGGTGAGCATAAGAGTTTTCCGAATAAATTAAAACTATATTGAACATGCAAAATAATAAGCTAATTTGACACTAATGTAGAATACTACAATTTGAAACCTTTGATGTATAATACACTGAAGTTTCAGACTAATGAAGCGTCTTCAGAGTAACATTACTGACATTTCCAAAATTACATCATCAGGACCAGTTCAAGTTGTGTTGGGAGGGTTATTGCTTGGGAACCATAGGTCTCCTAGCAACAATCCCATCAGTTTAGCACTACAAAAAATGTGATATTTGTGTATAAAGACATAGTTTAGAAAAAAAAAATATTTTTAAAAAATGTTATCAAATGTATCTCATAAAAATGCAGCAAGAATCATTGTCTCATAATTCCCTCTTGGTGTTTATTCTTGCTGCATTTTTATTGGATTTTCTATATTCGCATATTTAAAAAAACAAACTCAGTTTGTTAAAGTCGATGCACCTTGCCTAAAACCGACTGTAATGAGCGCCTCTCATTAGAAGGTGTCATTGTTGAGGCCCTTTGGGCTGTTTGTTCCGTTTATTTATAACAGGAAGGACAACACAGAACAGGAAGTGATGTGAACCCCTGTGATCCGGTGGCTTGTGTTCGTGCTTTTACTGTGGTATCATTTCCTTTCTCTCTCTCTCTCTCTCTCTCTCTGGGCTCTGGCTCCTGTCCAGACCTCAGTGCTCTGATGGCGGGTCAAGGCAGGGCTGACCTGCTCTCTGAACGCTGAATGTTGTTATTATTGGTGCGCTGTGCCCTCCGGGCAGCCTGTCGTCCTGAGCAGGGGAGGAAACGCAGAGGGCCGCTGGATCTCAGAGCTGGCGAGCAGCTGTGCTGGTCTGGTGGTCTCTCTTTCTGCTCCGCTCTCGAGGGAGAGACCTGTTCCAACCCAATCAGGCGGGAAACACTCTAATCCGTAAAACATCTCGCTCTGCTTTGAGCTCAAAGAATCTCAACACATGCTGGTATTTTGACCAGCAACTAAGAATAATCATAATTTTTAAAGGAATAGTTCGTCCAAAAATAAAAATTGCCTTACTTAGCCTTATGCCATCCAAGATGTAGATTAGTTTGTATCTTCATTGTAACAGATTTGGAGAAATGAATCATTGCATCACTTGTTCACCAATGGATGCTCTGCAGTGAATGGGTGCCGTCAGAATGAGAGTCCAAACAGCTGATAAAAACATCACAATAATCCTCAAGTAATCCACACCACTCCAGTCCATCAGTTAATGTCTTGTGAAGCGAAAAGCTGCACGTTTGTAAGAAACAAATTCATCATTAAGATGCTTTTAACTTCAAACCGTTGCTTTAAAATATGACTCCAGTGAAAAAAGTTGTCTCGTCTGAATCAGGAAAGAAATATACACAGATTAAGTGCGGTTTACAAATCAAAACAGTCCAAAATAGTTCTAAACAAATATTAGGATGGATTTTGATGTGAGACTTTTTCACTGAAGGAAGCATTATTATGGATTGCGGACTAGTATTTGCAATGGTTTAATCAGTACCGCCACTCCCTATACGCAGAGTATGCAGTTTGCATAGGGCACCAACTCCCCGGGGGGCACCATACCAGTTGCTCTAAAAAACTTTCGTTCCCTTTCAACGGAACTTCGAACTGTGTCCTCTAAGGGGCACTATGGGGAACGCCTCGTCGTGACCCGTGTCTGAAGCATACATTGAAAAAACACCATGTGGTAAGAGATCTCTATCCTATTATTATGGCGAGTACTAGCAGAATGTTTAGAGGATGTATGCATCCGTGTCATCGCTATTTGACACCTGATGACACACGATCTCTACGTTCTTTGTTTGGGCGAGGAGCATGCACGCAATGTCCTTGAGGGGGCGATTTGCGTGCATTGTGAGCATTTTTCGATGAAAAAGCTCCGCTCTCGTTTGTCTCTTTTTTCGAGGAAAGAGGGGCAGCCATCTGCTTCCCGCGGTTCAGGACCCGCCGCTGCTGAGGCTTGGAGGAGAATGAGCTTGTGGGGATCGCAGGTGGACCTGGCCGATGAGTTTAAAGAGGGGCTTTCCCTCTCGCGCTCGTCGGCTGTGGACGAGAGAGAGCCGCTGGAGGATGATGTTATTTCTCTAACATCATCTGATCCGGGGGCCAGTGCTCTGCTGGGTTCAGCCCAGGAGGAGCAGGAGATGTCTGAGGACGTCGAAGAGGCTGAGGCTGAGCCTTCCCAATCCTCCTGCCCTGCGTATGGTGAGCTGTTGGAAGTTATGGATCGCGCCACGGCGAGGCTGGACTTGCCGTGGAAGCGGGCCAAGAAAGTGACGTCGCGAGGTTGCCTCGATGAGCGTTTTCTTTCTGGCCATAACCCTCCAGCTCAGGTGAGCCTTCCATTCCTTCCTGATTTGCATACTGAGATCGAGAAGGAATGGAAGAGGCCATTTTCCTTACGCATCTATCGGTTCTAGCATACGAGTTATGCCAACATCGAGGCGATGGGTGAAAACGGCTATAAGATGATGCCCCCTGTAGAAGAGACGCTGGCTAGCTATCTCTCTATGGGTGAGACATCCTCCCTTAATACTCACTCCTTGCCATCTAAGCCCCTTCAGGATACATTGCGCTTAAATGGCAGGGCATATGGAGCAGCAGGTCAGGCTGTGGCTTCGTTGCACACTATGGCGGTGCTCCAGGCATATCAGGCTGATCTGCTGAAAGACCTGGATAAAGGCGAGGTCCTTTCCCCTGATGAGGTAGCTGAGCTGCGCCGCACCACGGATCTTGCTCTCCGTGCTACTAAGCAGGCTGCCTCCACTATGGGCAGGTCTATGGCGGCAATGCTAGTAACGGAGGGACATCTGTGGGTGAACCTGACAGATATCGGGAAGAAAGAGAGGGGGTTTCTTCTCAATGCTCCGGTTTTTGCCTTCCGAACTTTTCGGTACCTCCATTGAGATGGTGGTCGAGAAGTTCAGGGAGGCTGTAAGGGACCCAGCCATCAAAAAAATAGGCATAGGAAAACAAGCTTCCCAAACAAATAATCTTTTTAATGAATCAAAACAAACCTTCACAAGTTTAAAGCAGAAAATCAAAATTCAAATAAACTAACTTAGGCCTATAAAAGAGGTCAACAAAACTAAACTAAACTAAACTCAAGATAACTGAGGGCATGACAAACAAACTGAACTGACCTAACAAATGACACCATGAGAACACATTTATACAACTGGACTAGTCCATGTTCCACACAAGAGGGGAAAACAAAAAAACTACAACATACAACAACAAACAAATATCAACTATTTAAATAGTTGAATTAAAGATTAAATATAAATCTTGAAAAGAAGTCTAAACAAAAATTCCATTAAGGAAGTGAAACATAAGAAAACAATGCCCATTTAAACAACTCAATCCTCCCTCCAATTCATCTGTCCATTGGAACCGGCCAACGGAACTAAAGAGTGGTGGAGCAGCACGCCGGTCCTTTAGGCGGACGCACCCCGCGACGGAAGCTCAGAAACCTCCGCTATTCTCCACACAGCCCACAACATGGTAACTTAAACTCAAAAAAACAATATTAACAGAAATATACAGCACAGTGAACTGAATTGTGTGCACTCCAACTAGTTAACATGTACCGATATTCAATAAACATTCTAAATGAGCAAAAGAATCGAGTCTGTCTTCTTACTCAATATCATGTGATAATTCATTAAACAAACGCAACAATTAACCGTAAGAATAAGCAGGTAAAATCAATGCTTACCCATACGTGTAATATGTGTATGTGTATGTGTGTGTGTGTGTGCGCGTGTGTGTAAATATGCACGTTACTGCTCACTGATGTGTGGCCGCATCATGGGCCATCACAGAGGCGAAGGCGCGCTTCAAATCCTTCACTCCACGAAGGTCCAGGTCTGAGCGCGAACAACATAGGGGTCCTGGTCTGTCTCAGTCTGAGGATCAGAGACGGGCACAGAAGGCTAGTGTCGCGGCTCGCGCTCCTCCTCTGCCTGCGGGGAGGGGTAATAGGAATCGCGGGTCAAAGGGAGGTAGGCAAGACCTTAGGGATGTGATCCAGACAAGGCGTCAGCACTTTCGTCCAGATCAGAGTTATACTTGAGTATCTACTCATTTCCTTCGGGGGTTTTACATTTGCCCTTTTCTTCCCCTTCCTAATTCCCCTATAACCACCAGCTCTCCACCTGACCGATGTTAGATAGGAATTTCCTGCTTTACAGTCTCCTATGCTGGACCTATGATGTTTTTGGTTGGTTCTGTGACTTCATAGCAACCACTTTACTGATGGTCCGGACTAGAGGCTTCTCTGGAATCGCCTCTGGAACGGGGTTCCGGCGCAGGAACCATGGTGGGTGAGTATGATCCATTCTATATATATATATATATATATATATATATATATATATATGTGTGTGTG